GCAGCAAGCATGAGATAGAGCTTACAACAATCGTTTGTTTCCACGCTTGAACAATTGATAACACTTTTGGAATTTACTTAACATATTTTATTTATTTCTAGCATAGGACAGAAGGACAGACAATTGCAGGATTAGGCAAAGTGTGATGATTGAAGGGAAAGGTGGCTAGAAAACAAATTGTTATAACTTCAGATGATCGCTGAGGGCGAGAGATAGAGTGAGGCAGGGGTGAAATGACATGTATTGCTTTGGATTCATGCAGATCTGGCGCCTCCTAGATCTCGTTTCGCCATCCGCCATATGTCCACTCATCCGCTGAAGGTGACTCCGCCCCAGCCACGTAGATGGCAGTGATGTTGCGTCGATCACTGCCGAAGTCATTCTCTACGAAGCATTGGTAGGTGCCCTCGTGTTCCCTGCTGAACTCTCGGATTTGCAGGTGAGAAATGATGCGACGTCCGGGGGGAGCTCCGCGTACACTTACGCTGATGTCGTCAGAGTCACCTAAAATGATCCAGTTGAAGCCATCAGAGTTTCACAAGGGGCAGAAATAAATTTGTCGTAAAGAATACACAGGCAGCAGAGCAGGGTTTGGAATTCAGTCTAACTGTGTCAGTTTGCTTATAGTTTCTGAAAAAAAGTCGGGTTCATTAATTTTGGTGCTGGCGGCTATGTTCGCAGTGTTTGCCTCTTACTTGGTTTATTCAAATATCTAGGTCAGCCTATTACAGGCACCAATAACGCGCAATCAGCACTAAGTACGCGTTGGGCTAGTGCTTTGTTGATGTTTTATGACATTTAGCGCACACATGGGCAACATTTGCAGTCCATAAAGACGCACAATTCCCAGAAAAAAAAGGAACGAAGTCAGTGCTGTTTCTTAACTGGCAAAAACATCCAAAAATTGTTTAGGGAGCTACATTCGGAAATTACCGAGGCAGATTGGAGAGAAGAATTCATTTGGGAAACTGCAAATCGCCTCAAAGCTATATTGGTTTAGTAAAAGTCTCATGGGACACGCAATCACGAATCTGATCTGATTGTGGCACAGATTACGGACGTTGTTCTCTGCCCGAGGCTTCTAAATTGGAGTACTCGCATGCAGCCGCTTGCACGGAAACAACTGCTGAGTCAGTAAAAAAAGACAAGGGAAACATAAGAAAATAGTCCCTGGCGTACTAGCTGCCCCTAGCTAGTCCTACAAAAAAGGGAAGTTTCTGTTTTTGAACGATCTACGACTAGATTACGGCCTACTCATGTCATACGATCCATCTTCAGTAACATTTTCGCAGTGGTGTTGGTTCTAAGACTAAGGGAAGGGTTGAAAGGCAACTCGCGTATTCTAGTCTGCGTTGTAGACACAGTGGATATCCAAACTCCTAAAATGTCATCCGTAATTCAGAATTGGGGTTTCTATTCGAACAAACTACAAATAATATAAATAAGCGTGCAGCTTAATCTCAAGATACTTCGCTCCCGACAGAACGCTGACTTTACAGTGTGCATCATTATGATCGCTAGCAAAGTTGATTCTCTGTAATGAATGAATACTTAAATAGTTTGCATTTGTTTCATTGATTTTAGATGCTCCTGCAAACTAAAGCACAGTTTCTAGAAAAAGTGCACAAGGATATGCTTTCATGTACGCTTTTAGCAGAAACTTACGCTTTCTTCAATCTTTATACTCGAGGTAATCATATATTTGTTAGGGGCGTTTGGCAGATTTGCTTAATTCAGTTGACCCAACTGTGAAAAATTCGCAGCCAACGCTCTGCCACTGAGCTGTGAGGCTCAACGTGCGCCCTGAATTTAATCAATTTTGATCGATTTTAACCGCCCAACTTTGCCACTCGTATGGAATCCACTAGTACGCAACAGTAAGCTGACTACCTAGGCAGGATATCCTAAGCAATCATC